ATCGTTTTAGCATCTCATAAGTGGAATTCCACCGTGTAGGTACATCGCCCTGCAAGAACAGTGACCATCATTTGACAAATCATTTGACTGGCAAGGCTGATAGAGATTTCTGTCACTGGCTACCTACAAGTTTCTATCACATTCTAAAGGGCAGTGTGAAAAATCTGATGTAAACATTTGTGTACATATGATCTTCCGTCTTCTTCCAACTTATGGCCTTATATATTGGTCTCTTTTTAACCAACGCAAAATTTGCAAATGTGTTAGTAAGATAAATGAGCATGTGTTAGTTTCCATCACACAATTCTTGTAGGGCGTTGATGAGCTTTAAAACTGGTTGGTGCATTGATTCTAATGGGCTGTTTTTGCTTACGCGTAAAAGCACATTTAGCGCATTTAGCTCTAAATGCTACTCTGAATGTACATTTATCCATACAAAATTCGTCACCTAAATGTAACTAAATGCAACTCCATTTTTGCATTTAGAATCTAAATGCTAAAAGCAACCCTGTGATCTTCCAAAATTTCCACGATTCGAACATGGTTTAATGAGAAGAAGTGGCAACATTGCTTTTTCGAGTATACAGTCGCTAGCTGCGTTTCAGTGATCGCCGATCGAGATTTCATTTATTATTTTACATTATTTGGATAAAGAAAAGTTACTCAAATTCAACATCGATATGATGCTGATAGAAATCTGGATTAATTTGTGATCAACTCTGTTTGTTTTGTTTCCTAATTAAGTGTGGAAATTATAATTTACAGCACCGACAAATGAATATATACACAAACAAGTGTTCGGTTATGGTTAAAACAATTCAAGTTTTTGTATTGAATTTTCGGTTTAGAATTTTTTTTCCTTTTCAGTAGGGGTTTTCGCACATTATCTTTTCCGTGAGAATTTATCGTAATAGATACGGATCTGAATAAGCGACTGGAACACGGCTGTTTGTCAAAAGCATACGATTTCGAACTCGCGTAAATGTACATTTGCTAAATGCGATAGCATGAACGCTCTTCGAAAACATATGTTCGAAAGTGCTAAATGTTGCATTTTAAATGCAGCAAAAACGCTGCATAACGTAGCTTTAAGTTTTGAATGAGCATGACTACTCTTTGAAAAAAACCTAACAATTGATTTAACTTTACATAAAACAGGTTCTATTTCCTTTAATCCTGCTTGTGCAACTAGATTTAAGGAATGTGCAAAGCAACCCCAATGGCGCCAGCCTCCCCCGCGCACCGCTGCTTTCATATTCGCAGCATTGTCAGTTACCACAACAGTAATTTTGTTATAAATTCCCCACTCATTAAAAATTTCAATCATTTTTTTTGTAATGTTTACGCCAGTGTGCCTTTCCGCATAAGCACTACAAGCTAGTAAGTCCGACGCAAGAAATGTTCTTTTTTCTTCTTCTACAACATAATGAGCGGTAACGCTGAAAAAACTGTCTTGAGCACGAGAAGTCCACCCGTCCATAGTTAAGCATATGGCATAAGCTCTCTCTAACCGCTTTTTAACAATTTCTACTGTTTCGTTGTATGTGGCAGGAATCAATGAGGAAGAAATGGTTTTTCGGCTTGGAAGCTTGTAATTGGAATTCAAGAGAAACACCAACTTCTTAAATTCTATGTCTTCTACTACACTGAAAGGATGATATTCACGGACTATCATTTTTAATACCTGTTGATCGATTTCGCGCTGCTTCTTTATTGGAAGAGGTTTATATAAAAAGTTTGTTACTTGTGGCTGCGATGCGTTTAATGCCCGTGGTCGGATCTGAGCAGGGACCTGCGGTGTTACTGTGCTATTGTTGAGCTGATGGGGGTTATGGTTGTTGACTGCACTGGTGTTGTTGTTGACTTCACTGATGTTGTTGTTTACTTCACTGATGTTGTTGTTGAGCTCACTGCCTTCGATGTCAAGAAGTACTTCTTCTACAGGTTGCGCCTGTCTGGAGATTCTCTGGAACTGGTGTCGTCTGTTCATGTGACGAATAAGGCCGCAAGTCGATTTATTTGACACCGACAACTGCTGACCACACAACTTACACTTAACCTTCTTATCCTTCTCCTCCGAGAAGTGCAACCACACGTCACTCTTCTTATTAGATGACATTTTTTATTATTTTATTATTATTTTTGTTGTATTGAAACGCCAAGAAATTTTGAATATAAAACGTAAGGCAGTGTTCTATAGCTTCAATTAGTAGTATGCTTGTGAACAAGGATGTTGTGGAAGAGTTAAAATTACTCCGCGAGATTTGCTTTGCTTAATGATAGCAAGCCAGTCCAAATAGTCTTTGAATTGGGCAACGTCTGTGCTCCTTTCTTCTGTAAGAAATGAGGAATTTGAATGAAAAATATTATTAAGGAATATTACAGGTAACCTACTGCTGATCATGATGATTGAAAATACCGACAATTTTGTGGGCCACGTCATTTATGTTTACCGATTGATTTTGTAATAACGGTATAATGGGATGTTGCGTTTTCAAACCAAATTGATTTTGAAAGATTGCGCTTCCAAGTAATGGTATGCTGACAATTCCTTCGGTGATCGTGGTGTACTTTATCGGACTAAATATTTTAATAATAAATAAGTATATACATACAAGTGCATAAGTTAGTGTAAGTGGCGGGATCGAAAATCTAAAGCAAACTGATTTCTGATCTACTAAGGCCCAGTTTTTCAGTGCACGGCCGTGGTTTAAACTAACTTTAAACGGCCGATCTGGCTGGTTTTAACTAAGATCAGCCAATCAAATGTCAGCCAGCTGTTCAATTTAAACTCAGTTTACTTAATCCAAAATTAAACTGGCCCTAAGGTTGAACCGGATTATCCTAATAAAGCTTTCGAATTACTGAATATGGACATAGATTATTGGTTTTTGTCATGCCAATAATGAAACATTTTAATTGCATCATACAAAAAAAGAAATTCAAGAAAAATTCTATATATATTTCAGGTTTCCAAAATCACAATTTTCACTGGCGTTTTTTCGCTTGCACTGGACATTTTATATACCCTTGACAACAGAAGAGGTGTCTGCCCTTCTTCTCCGGCAACACAGAAAGGAGAATTTTACTTAGTATGGATTATAATCCCAAAGCGCGGCCGAAGGCCGCCTACTCGAAAGGAGTTAAGTGCAAAAATTCTGTGGATACCGGAGCCGGAGTTATATGCACAAGAAATGTTATACACTTTTGACAAAAGAAGAACAATACAAGAACATTAACTTACCTGAGTTGGGCAGCAAGGAAGTCAACATTTTTAGCACATTCGTCGTTTCTAAAACACCATCTTCTACTACTCGCACAAACGTCTGGAAGCTTAGCACACTCGCTTGAATAATATCCGATTTGCATTGCATTTTTAAAAACTCAATGTGATGTTATGCTCAGCTACCTTCTTTTCCCAGCTGTGAGTGTTTTTCTTAAGATTTTTTCACGGCATGCCGATATTTTCACAACCACGATGCGGTGGTTATGTTTTTCAACTTATCCATTGCTTTGGCAATGTAAAGAAATTATGTATTTTGTGCATTACTTTACCGGACTGCAAGTTGAAAATCTTTTCTTAATATTTCCTTTCAAAAACTTCATAAAACCTGGTATATATAGCCAAAACGTCCTACTTATGAGCGCTCAATAACCATCCGTCTATTCTCGTTGCTGCACAAACTAGGGATGCGCGATGTTAGCCGATGATGTTCTGTCAAAATAAGACAGAAGAGCGCGAAAAGAAGACAGAATGGCGGGAAAATAAGAGCGAATGGCGCGAAAAGAAGACAGAATGGTGGGAAAATAAGAGAGAATGGCGCGAAAAGAAGCCAGAATAGCGCCAAAAGAAGCATGATGAAGCACCATGCGAAAAGAGACTGCATGGCGCAATTGCGTTGATTCAATGCGTTGATACCGGTTATGGCGCTGGCTTCAAGGTATCGGCGCCAGAAAATTTGCTGCGTTACCCAGGCCTAGTGTGTAAGGGTGGGTAACTCAGCAAATTTATAGGAGTACACTCAATGACTCCAACTCACTTTAAGGAGTCAGCTCATTCAACTAACTCATTTGACTCTTTGTATGTTACACTCATTCGTATCGTAGACTCGTTTTGAGGCATAGATGCGGTATAGCGGCCGTTGAGATAAAACAAAACTTTAAAGTGGGCGTGGTCAGCTCCTTTCTACTGATTTGAAAGGTGTAATTTTTTTTGTGTGCAAATTAATAGGGCGGTGCTAGGGGGAGGGTAAAGGTGGAATTTTCAATATTTTCAAAAGCTTATATTTCGAAACCTATTGTACCGAATTTCAAAATGTGGATATGGTTGGAAAGGCAATTGATTTGATATGCACATCTTTATATATCTTACATACATACATATTTCGAGAAAAACTAAAAAGAAAACGAAATTATGCGGACGATGTCCAGCTCTACATGTCAGGTCCTCTGGAGGACTCAGCTAATTTGTGCGCAAGCTTCAACAGGGAACTGATGTCTATAAGGTCCTGGGCACAGTTAAATGGTCTTTGTCTTAATTGTGACAAGTGTTTTGTTTTACCTATTTGTAAGAAACGTCTTAACCTAGCAACTATTCCATCGTTACACATTGGTGGCAAACCAATTAAATTTGTGTCAAAAGTAACTAACCTTGGGTTTATTATCAACACTGGCCTTACCTGCATTGACCATGTGAATTCAACTGTAGGCAAAGTCTATAATACTTTAAGGAATTTACGAATGTCTGCTCCATTTACACCGATAGGAATCAGACGTAAACTCGCAATCCAACTTATAATGCCAATTATCTGTTATTCTGAGGTAGTCTACAGCAGGTTAGATTCCCAATCAGCTCACAAAATAGATGTAGTATTTAACCAGATCACGCGCTATGTGTTTGGGCTAGCAAGATATGAACATATTTCCGCTTGGAGAACGCGCCTACTTGGCTGCGAAATTTCTGAATATCTTAAAGCTAGAAATTGTGTATTCCTTTTTCGTCTCATGACAGATAAGGCACCCAAATATCTATATGAAAAATTAATGTTCCCCAAATCCACTCGAGTAAAGGACTTGACTGTTCCTACCTACAATTATCTCAGCTCTGCACGGCTATTCTTTGTCAATGCTATCCGCATCTGGAACTCTATTCCATCCCATATTCGCAGTAGTTTAAACAAAAGCAACTCTAAAAATGTTCTGTATGCATATTTCCGTTAGCTTCACTTCAGTCCCTGTGATGTGCTCTCTATGTACTTGTATAATTAAGTCTTATTTTAAGTATATGTCCTGGAATTGTAGAACTCACTTAAAAATACTACTCTGTTAATTATATTATGTTACTTTTATTTAGTCTTAAGTAATTTTTGCTGTTTTAGTTATATGTATGTGCTGTTATGAATTTTTTGTTGCGCTATAAAAGATCATTCTTTTGATCTTATTGTGCTAATGATTTTATTAATAAATGAAATGAAAATGAAATGAAATAAGAATTTGTGAGATTTGACATAACACCCGCAATACAAAATACATGTGGTTGTTGTTGTTGTATTCTTGCCACCACCTTGTATAAATTCGCCTCGTGCAAAAACAAAATGCAAGACTTTGCCATGCTAAACACTGTGGCGAAGCGAGAGAGTTATATGGACAAATATGAGCCACTATGATTCAATTGATTCATGTGAGCCCTACGGCTTCAACTGAGTTACTGAGTTAAATTTTTTTGGACAGGGAGTCTGAGTTACCGACTCACTTATAGGAATCAACTCAATAACTCAACTCTGAGTTGAGTTACCCACCTCTACTAGTGTGCAGTTACATCGCGCCATTTACTAAACCGGGCTGTCGTGTGTTACGATTGGCCCCATGAATGCGGTTTGCCAATATTATATTGCGTCAAAGTCTATGCGGAGACACCAGGATTGAGTGGGGTATCATTTAATGATTAAATAAATAAAGTCAATATTTACCGTTGTTTGTGCGACAGAAAACGAAATGACTTATAAAAATAAATCTGTCGGTAAATTTGGGATTTTTTTTAACGATGCGTTTTTTGACGCTCTAAAAATTACAACTACAAGGTTTTAGCAAGGCGTCCATACCGAAACGTAAGACGTCAAATGTATTTTCTATTAGCGGTAATGGCAAACCTCCGAGTAAATTTCTGCCATAAAAAAGAAGCTTCTCATAAAAATACAATCGCCGTCCGGAGTCGGCGAAATACTGTAGGTCCCTCCCAATTGGGTGACAACTCGGCCAAACACTAATATATTGAAGAATACTAATTTACTAAATGTTCGTGCATGTTCCTGGTTGATTATACAAAGTTTACCGCATATCAAGTCTGAATTGACCACACCTTTAAGATTTTAAGGTAGCAGCTCACGTTTCTTGTTGGAATACATATAGCATAAAATTTATTGTCTTCACTGTGACGTATAAACTAGGAGAGTTATATATTATGGAACAAATTTCCCTTGCCCCTTGTCAACGTTTGGTTGTCTCCAAACCAAACTTGACAAGGGATGACGAACATTCATTCAAAAGTAAACCAGAATTCATTCTCCTCGAAAATTACTTTATTAAAATAGCAAATCTATGGTTGGAGTATCTTTTCAGATTCCCAGACCTTGGATTTCTTATTCTCGAATGAAGTCAACGACTATTTGAAATTGATCCTAAAATACCTTAACATAACGAATAATGATTTTCGTGCTAGATTTTGTGTATGTAAGAACAAAGAAATTTAAGAAAATCGTTATGCGCATTCGAAGAACAGTTCATTTACAGACGTTGCCCCAATAGTTTACGTGAAAACACTTACATATGTAAGTCAGCGTGGGCGGAAAATCCGCTTTTTTAGAATTTTGATTGGTAATAGCAAAAATATTGTTCATTATGCTCTAAAAAAAATCTCTGTGAAATTTGAAAATTTTTGGTCAATATCCTAGGCTCGCCCAAGTCCATCAAAGTTCAAGTACTAAAAAAAGGCGTGTGTAACACCGTACACATGGTAGAAGTGAAACTTCTTAAAAAAGGTGTGGGTACCAGGTACCTACTCACGAAACTGGATGTGTAAACATATGTTTGC